GGTGGCCCTTTGTGCTAGCCGCGCGGCCTGGCCTCAAGAATGGAGTCCTGAGCAGGAAGTGAGCACAGGGCCTGAGCCCTCCCTCCCACTCCCCACGCTCGCCCCAGCACTCCTCTCGCCTTGTCCCTGGCCACGGAGGTTTCCCTCTCACCGGGGAAGGAGCTTCAGACCCCTGTGCCCAGAGTTTATCCCGTGGCCGCCGGAGTGGCTGGGGCTTGTCCTGAAGCTGCTGTCCCCACCCCAGCCGACATCTATGACAAAGTGTCGAGCGAGCTGCAGAAGAAGGGCTATGGCTGCGAGTGCCTGGGCGGCGGGCGCATCTCCCACCAGAGCCAGGACAGGAAGATCCACGTGTACGGCTACTCCATGGTGAGCCCAGCCTGCAGGCTCCGGCCCGGGTTCTGGCTGTAGAGCTGCTCAGGACCCCAGCAGCCTGCCTTCTGGGGTGCCCCATCTCAGCCACGGATTCCCACGCTCCCCGTGGGTCCCTGCAGCTGCCTCAGGGTGGCCCTGCCCCTAGACCCCAAGGCCTGGCAGGACTCCCAGTGTCCCGGCCCTCCGGGCCCTGGGCACCCAGTGCTTGGGTCACACTTAGTCCCAACCCAGTCCCCTCACAAGCACCGCCTGGCACTGAGGGCTCACTGTGGACCCTGCCTGTCCCCAGGGCAGTCAAGGTGGCATTGCTCTGCTACCAGCACCTGCTCCCAGTGAGGCTCTGGGAGCTCCCAGAGCTCAGAGCCAGGTGGAACTAGCACTGTCCTCTTTCCAGGGGTACGGTCGTGCCCAGCACTCTGTTTCAACTGAGAAGATCAAAGCCAAGTACCCTGACTACGAGGTCACCTGGGCAGACGACGGCTACTGAGGCCAGTGCCCAGCAGTCAAGACAGGACTCTACCTGCCCAGGGTCGCTTCTGAGGGGTTGCCCAGCTCTTTGCTTCTGCATCCCTTGGCACTGTGCCACCCCACCAGGCCTTGGAGCCCAGGCCAACCTCGGGAATTAAAAGCCTTAGTGCACCTGCTCATCTGTGTGTCTTGGCTCCTCTGCCTCTGAGTCACCACCTGGAACCCCCTTGCCTCTACCTCTGGGGGCCCTAGGGAGCAGCAGTGCATGGTCAGCCCCTTGGGGTCCGATAAGGGGCCCCTGGGCTGCTGCTGTTTATGGCCTCATTGCTTCTCCACATACTGCTATCCCAAAGGACATCTGGGTGGAGGCCTGAGAAGGCCTTGCGCAAGATATCTGTGCCTAGTCCTCATGGCCAGCTGAGGCCTATGATCCCCCGAAGTACCCCTTTCCCAGTGCTCAGCCCAGCATTCTGGCAGGAAGGGTTCCGGTGACCACTGTCCTGGCCAGTGACATTGGCTGTCACTGTCAATCTGCACAGGGGCAGCCTGGGGACCCTCAGTGGTCTGCCAGCAGGGACACATGTGACATTACCCACAATCCTTGTATCTAGGATCAGGGCCTGGAGCTGCTCACTGATAGACAGCGAGAAGGAAGGCACTCCTGGCTCTGAAGGTCCCCTTTCCCTGGACCTTCTGCAGCCCTGGGTTTGACCTCTGTCCAGCCCTGCCTCCTGCAGGGTGGAATGTGGTGTGTGGAGACAGTGGGTGTTAAGGGAAAGTTAGGGACACACTATGCCCCAACCTCACATAAGCTCTTGGAACGGTTCTCAAGGCTACCATCCAGGCGAGCACTGTGAAGCCCACTTTGCCGAGGTCACCCCAGTAAGTATGCCTGGCTGAGTCTGGTGGTGGGCATGCTCCTCCTGTCAAGATTGGGCCTGTGCTAGAAAACCAGAAGTTTCCAGGCTTAGGGGACCCTGTGCTCGTCACTGACCAGCCAGTAGGCATGTGGCTGCCCAGGACGATTTTGAAGGATGAACAAATGATGGGGAGGGGATCCATGGCCTGGGTTCCAGGAGGTCAGGCCTGTGCCTGGACCCGAGGCAGAGTGCCCCAGGGTACCCTGGGACAGGCTGCCTTGCCCTTTGTCTGTACTAGGCAGGGCAAAGCTTAGGCATGAGAGAAACCACCCCATGCTATTCAGAGCCCTGCTCGTGGGATCCCAGCCGACACCATTGCCTACCCCTTGGGACCTTCCTAAGCCCCTGGATGTCAGCCTCTGCCCAGCTCCCTGTCCCACACAGGAGGATGGGGACCAGGGTGTTTGGAATGCCGTGGCTTGACCTTTGGTCAGAAGAAGCCAGGCAGGTGGGAGCTGAGCCTGGCCAGGGGCCCTTCCTAGGGACACTTTTACAGCCGGATGCTTGGTCCACCGTCCCAGGCTGGGGCCCGACCAAGGGACTGCAGGCACAAAAAGGTCCAAGCCCCTCCCAGTCAGAGGCAAGTCAGTGGGGCCACTGCGGGCCAACACCTGGACAAAGTCCCCACCAGGGCACACAGCCTCTGCCACTGGACCTCACTCCCTGTAGCCTGGCCATGCAGCTGCCCACCGACCTCCTGCCTGCGCTGGTCCTGTTCACAGGTAAGTTAAGTGGTCTTGCCCAGGGAACCAGGGCTGGTGCCCAACCCCACCAGAGGGCAAGGGCGGCCTGCAGGGGGGACATCCAGGAAAGCCCATGGACCAGTGATGGCCTGCCTAGGCCTCCTTTCCCTGCCCTAGGTGAGAGGACCCCTAGCTGGGCACCCACCCAGCTCCCTGAACCTTTCCTTGTCCCCTCAGATGAGGCCAGGGTCACCACTGATGAGTCACCTAGGGCACCCTCCTGGGAGCTGCATGCTGTGGTCCCTTTCCCCAGGCAATGCCCACACCCAGTGCTCCCACCCGTGCCCATGCCTTCCTCCCCCAAACGAGCCTCCAAGGGGCTGGGAACTTAGGAAATGGCATGGAGTCCCCATGGTGGTTGTTTGTGGGTCCAAGCCCCACTTCACTGCTGAGCCCCAAAGACGGTGACAAATGTCCTAAAGGGTTTCCCTGGACATGGAAGTTTCAGGAAAACTAGCCAGTCCTGAACACGGTAGGACAGCCGGTTGATCTGCCCCAGCCCACATAGCTGTCTCTGCCAGCAGCACAGTCCCTGGGCAGAGCCTGGGTGCCTGGTCCCTGCAGGAGCCCCACTGAGGCACAGTGCAACTTCCTGTGTGACTGCGGGGACTGCTCCGATGAGACCCAGTGTGGTGAGCTGGAGTCTGCGGGGGTGGGAGGGCCCAGGTTGAGGCCCCTTGCCTGAGCCCCTACCCACTCTTCCAGGTTACAACGGGGCCTTGCCCGGCCTGGGTACCTCCTTCACCTGCGACTTTGAGCAGGACCCCTGCGGCTGGCAGGACATCAGCACATCGGGCTATAGCTGGGTCCGGGACCGTGCAGGAGCACAGCCCGAGCGGCCTGTGGCTCACACAGACCACACGCGAGGCACTGACCTGGGTGAGGCCTAGCGTCTGTGCACCTCCACCTGCTTGCCCCCTACCCACCACTTGGCCCTGTCCTGTCTCCTAACTGCCCTCCTCTCCCCACCAGGCTGGTACATGAGCGTGGGAGCCCACCGCGGGATGGAGGCCTCTACTGCTGCCCTGCGCTCCCCCGTGCTGCGGGAGGCAGGCCCTGCCTGCGAGCTGAGGCTCTGGTACCATGCAGCCTCAGGAGGTGTGCGCTAGGGACCCCAGGCCTAGGGCTGGCAGGCAGCTGCAGGGAAGGCCAGGGGTACCTGAGGGCCAGGGGGGAGCCCTGCAGGAGGGTCTGGGGCATTGCAGGGTTGAAGCCACCCAGCACCCCCCAAATGCCGCAGATGTGGCAGGGCTGCAGCTGGAGCTGACTCACAGTGCAGAGGCGCTGACCCTGTGGCAGAGCTCGGGACCCTGGGGTCCGGGCTGGCAGGAGCTGGCAGTGACCACCGGCCGCATCCAGGGCGACTTCCGAGTGAGCCAGCGCCTGGGGGCGGGGCCGGGGGCGGGGCTGGGCCCTGACTGAGCCCTAAGGACACTTGCTCTCTTCAGGTGACCTTCTCTGCCACCCGCAATGCCACACACAGGGGTGCTGTGGCCTTAGATGATGTGGAGTTCTGGGACTGTGGGCTTCCCAGTAAGGCACCCCTTTGCGCCTGGTGGGTGGGGCCGGGGCCCTCATTGCCTGCTCCCTGCTCTGTGTCCTGGGCCCCTCACCTGGTTACTCTCCCCCAGCCCCGCAGGCCACCTGCCCCCTGAGCCAGCACCACTGCACAAACGCAGCCTGCATAGAGCCCCACCAGCTGTGCGATGGGGAGGACAATTGTGGGGACGGCTCTGACGAGGACCCGCTCACCTGCAGTGAGGCCTGGCCAAGTGTGGGCGGGGACACAGAGGGACAGGGAGGCCAGGCCCTGACCTCCTGGGTCCTTTGAAGAACACTGGGACAGCTGGGGCGTGGTGACACATGTCTATAATCCCCTGGTCTGGGAGGATAGAGGAGGATCGCCCAGCCTGGGCAACTTCACGAGACCCTGTCTCAAAACAAAAAAATTTTTAAAAGCCTGGGGATATAGTTCCATGGGAAAGCCCTGCATTCAATCCACAGTACCACAAAAAAAAACAATTAGAAAAAAAAGCATCAGGGGCCTGTCCTGGAACGTGCACTTGGGCATGGTCTTTCTGAAGGGAGGAGCCAAGGCCAGCCTGGAGCTGGGGCCATATGGCTGCAGGTGGTCCTGACAGTCCCGCCCCCACCCTAGGCCATCACACAGGCACCGACTTTGAGACAGGCCTAGGCCTGTGGAACCACTCAGAGGGCCCGGCCTGGAACCTCAGCACCGGTGGCCCCAAGGGCTCTGCCTGGCCACACAGAGACCACAGCCGGAACAGTGCACAGGGTGAGGCCCACAGGGACCCTGGCCACTGCTCGGCTACCCGGCCACAGCCAGCGACAGAAGCCCATACTGTCTTCCCCAGGGTCCTTCCTGGTCTCCACGGCCAAGCCTGGAAACCCTGCCATCCTCCTCAGCCCCCAGCTGCAAGCCTCAGGCTCCCGTAACTGCTCGGTGAGATGCATGAGGGTGCAGGCTCGCAGACCGGCTGCCCTGGTGCCACAGGGGCCCTGACCAGCATGGTCCCTTCCAGCTCATCTTCTACCACTACCTGCATGGGTCCAAGGACGCCCGCCTTGAGCTGCTCCTGCAGATGCAGGGCCCTGGCGCCCCTCAGGCCCCTGCCCTGCTGCGACAGCGACACGGGGAGCTGGGAGCAGCCTGGGTCCGAGACCGGGTGGACATCTGGAGTGCCCATCCCTTCCGGGTGAGCAGAGGGACAGGTCTGGGGAGCTCTACCAAGACAGAGGAGTGAGCTAGGGGCCCCTCATGGACCTGTGAAGGTGCCAGGAGTGGTGTCCACAGAATGGGGGGACACGGGCCTGGGAACATACCCAGGGAGCAAGCGCAAAGGAGAGCCAGGCGCCCCTGAGCCCCTGACACACTCTCAGATCCTCCTGGCTGGTGAGACGGGTCCTGGAGGCATCGTGGGGCTGGATGACCTCATCTTATCCGACCACTGCAAGATCATCCCAGGTGATGTGCCCGGCCTTGCCTGGCCTGCCTGCCTTCTGGGAAAGGCAGAGCACCTGTGGCCTGTCTGACCCGACTTCTGCCTGCAGGGGCACCGCTGTCTCCTGTACCTTGGCCCAAGGCGCCCCACCCCCAGCAGTCCACCCTGCAGGGCTCCTGTGAGGCAGGGCAGCTGGCCTGTGGGGACCTGTGTGTGCCCCCAGAGCAGCTGTGCGACTTCCAGCCCCATTGTGCCCAGGGCGAGGATGAGCACGAGTGTGGTAGGCACAGCCGGTGCATGTGCACAGCGGGCGTCGGGAGGGCAGGGTCTGGAACAACCGCTCCTCCAGCCCTGCTCTATTCTAGGCACCACAGACTTCGAGGCCGCTGCTGCTGGGGGCTGGGAGGACGCCAGTGTGGGGCGGCTGCAGTGGGGGCGGCAGGCAGCCCAGGAGAGCAGGGGCATGGGCAGGGCTGCTGCAGGTAAGACCTGCGGGGTCCCCACACTGAGAGGCCCTGAACAGAGTGGGTTCCCTGGAAGGAACAGCTCTAAGCCCCTGCTCTTGCCCAGGGTACTTCCTGTCCCTGCAGAGGGCCTGGGGGCAGCTGAGGGCTGAAGCCCGGGCCCTCACTCCCATCCTGGGCCCCTCCGGCCCACACTGCGAACTCCACATGGCCTACTACTTCCACAGTCACCCCAGAGGTACTGCCCCTGCTGCCCAGCCCCCAGTGCCTGGGGTGAGGGGGTCCACAAAGGCCCACTCTCCGTGACTCCTCCCAGGCTTCCTGGCTCTGGCTGTGGTGGACAGTAGCTCCCGGGAGCTGGTGTGGCAGGCTCCAAGGAGCAGCTCCAGGGACTGGAGAGTGGACAAGGTCCTCCTTGGAGCACACCACAGGCCCTTCCGGGTGAGGAGGGCCCTTCCTGGGTAGAGGGGTCCTCAAAGAAGGACCCCTGACTTACAGTTCCCTCCATCTACCTCTGAAGCTGGAGCTGGTTGCACTGGTGGACTTGGAAGGCCCTGGCCAGGAAGGGGCTGGGGTGGACAACGTGACCATGAGGGACTGCAGCCCCACAGTGACCACTGAGAAGGACAGAGGTCTCTCCCACCTGTCCCAGCAAGGCCCACCCAGCCCACCTCCAGGGACCCTGGGAACCTCTACTTCCTCAGGCCTCAGGGAAGTTTCAGGTGGGGACTGTGCTGACACTGCTGTCCATCCCCAGAGGTCACCTGTAACTTTGAATGGGATACTTGTGGCTGGCACCTGGGCCACCTCACAGATGTCCACTGGCGCCGGGTGGAGAGCCACAGTTCTGGGTATGACCACACCACCGGGCAAGGTAGGGGAGGCCTCATAACAGAAGATCCTGGCACCCTGAAATGTGGGAGGACTTCAACCTGAGGACCCCATCACAAGGGGGACCTCAGGCCTAGACAAGCACCCTGCAGCTCACCCTGGTGCCCCACACAGGTTTTTTCATGCTTCTGGACCCCGCAGAGCCTCCTACCCGTGGCTACCATGCCCACCTACTCACAGGGCCCCTGGTGCCAGCAGCCCCTGAGCAGTGTCTCAGCTTCTGGTTCCAGCTACATGGGCCCCAGACTGGTGAGCAAGTGCTCAAGCTGGCAGGGTATCGGAGGAGGCCTAGGGGCTCTAGGGGGTCAGGATTTGGAGGCTTCGTCCCTCCAAACTCCACCTCCCCTTAGGGACGCTGCGGCTGGCCATGCGGAGGGACAGTGGGGAGGACGTTCAGCTCTGGTCTGCATCAGGCACCCATGGCAACCGCTGGCACCAGGCCTGGGCGACTCTGCACCACCAGCTGGGGCCCAGCTCCAAGTACCAGGTGAGTCTGGGGTAGGTGGGGGAGCCAGGCCTAGCCAGCTGACACCCTGCACCCTCAGCTGCTATTTCAGGGCCTCCGGGATGGCTATGATGGCATCATGGCACTGGACGACGTGACCGTACGCCCTGGCACCTGCCCAGCCCCCTGGCGCTGCTCCTTCGAGGATTCTGCCTGCAGCTTCTCCTCAGGTGGGCAGGGCCTGTGGAGACGTCAAACCAGCACCTCAGGCCCTGCCATCCCAGGCCCCTGGGCAGACCACACCACAGAGACAGCCCAAGGTACAGGCCTACCCTGGAGGCGGGCATGGAGTAGGCTCGGGGCTCTCGCTGACACTCTGACACTGCCCCCCACCCTCAGGGCACTACATGGTCGTGGATACAAGCCCAGACATGCTGCCCCGGGGCCATGTAGCCTCTCTGACTTCGGAGGAGCACTGGCCCCTCCTTCACCCTGCCTGCCTGACCTTCTGGTACCACCTGAGCCTGCGCAGCCCAGGTGAGGGGCCACGGGAGGCGCCCTGCTGTGGGTGTGGGGGGCTCCCACAGGCCCTGTGCCAGCTGGGCAGCCAGGTGGGGACCGCCCCTTGGTGTGGCAGGCACTCTAAAGGTCCGAGTGGAAGAGGGCGGATGGCACCAGACACTCAGCATCAGTGAGCATGGCGGGCTTGCCTGGCACCTGGGCAGCATGGATGTGCAGGCCAAACAGGCGTGGAGGGTGAGTGTCTGGCACAGGTTGGTGAGGGGGCCATCCTTGAGGGTCACCTGCACCCATTGCAGCATTGGCCTTGCCCCACAGGTGGTGTTTGAGGCAGTGGCTGCTGGTGTGGAGAACTCCTACATCGCGCTGGATGACATCCTCCTCCAGGATGGGCCCTGCCCTCGGCCAGGTGGGACCCTGCTGTGGCCCATGGGTGGCACCAGATCTGTTCCAAGCCCAACTCCCTGGCCTGGGCCCCATCTGAGAGTGGGAGGTACCTGGGGCTGACAGCCAGTGAGCGCCACTCACTCACCGTCTCCTCCCAGGGTCCTGTGACTTCGAATCCGGGCTGTGTGGCTGGAGCCATCTGGCATGGCCAGGCCTGGGCGGATACAGCTGGGACTGGAGCAGTGGTGCCACCCCGTCCCGGTACCCCCGGCCCCCTGTGGACCACACTCTGGGCACCGCAGCAGGTGCATGCTGGCTGGCAGTTGGAGCTGGGAAGGGGGACCTAGAAGCCACACAGCCACTTGGCCTGGCTGGCCCCACGCAGCACTGCCTTCTCGTTCCCAGGGCACTTTGCCTTCTTTGAGACCAGTGTGCTGGGTCCCGGGGGCCGTGCGGCCTGGCTGCGCAGCGAGCCCCTGCTGGCCACTGAGGCCAGCTGCCTCCGCTTCTGGTACCACATGGGCTTCCCTGAGCACTTCTGTGAGCTGGCTCTGCCCGGGTGCTAGGGGTGGGAAACCGGGCCGCAGCTTCTGAGGCTGAGCCTAATCCACCCCATCCCTCCTCAGACAAGGGCGAACTGCGTGTGCTTCTGGTCAGTGCTGCAGGGCAGTTGGCGGTGTGGGTCGGAGGTGGACGGCTGAGGCACCAGTGGCTGGAGGCCCAGGTGGAGGTGACAAGCACCCAGGAGTTCCAGGTAAGGCCTCGGGGCCCTGGGGGGCCACATTCCATGCCCCTCCTGAGAGCTTCTCCCTTTCCCACTAGATAGTGTTTGAGGCCACTCTGGGTGGCCAGCCAGTACAGGGGCCCATCGCCCTGGATGATATTGAGTACCTGCCCGGGCAGCGCTGCCAGTGGCCTGCACTGAGCCCAGGTGAGCACTGGGGTGTGGCCAGGCCCTCTCTAGCCCAGGCCGCCTGGGGGCGCTGTGCCTTCCGCACCCTGCCCTGGGGGCGCCAGCCCAGGTTCCCATTCAGGGCACAAGGCTTGCACTGTGTAGCTGCCAGCTGCCATCCTGTTAGAAAAGGGAATGTGGTACAGGTTGGGTCCCCTTCCAGACACCCTGGCCAGCAAGGGTGAGGAGCCAGGCAGCCCCAGCTTCCCTCCATGCCCTCAGCTCCTGTCCCCTCTCAACCGCAGAGGACACAGCAGTGAACGTGTCAGTGGCAGCCGCAGTCAGCGGAGCCCTCCTCTTCCTCGTGCTCCTGGTACTGCTCATACTTGCGGGGTGGCACTGGTTGCAGAAAGGAAGGGGCTGGCCCTTCCGGAGGAGCACGGACTCTGCAGCCCCCGGTTTTGACAACATCCTCTTCAATGCGGTAGGAGCCCTAGCACAGTGGGGGCTGGGGCGCCACAGGGCCCCACCTCTTCTGGTCATGAAGCCCCTTCCTTCCTCTAGGATCAAGTCACCCTGCCTGCAGCTGTCACCAGTGACCCATAGATCACCGGACCAGCCCCTGGCCCCTCATGTGACACCTCCACAACTCTGCCACACTTTAGCCCAAGGCTGGACAGCTGTGCCGCCCAGGCCAGGCACCCCACTCACCTCCCACCCAGTGGGGTAGCTCGGGGCCCCGACCTCATGAATAAACATGCCAACCCTCAAGGACAGCCCGCGCTCTCAGGCTGGGTCAGTGTCCACACCTGGCCTCAGACTGCCTGAGGGAGCGTATGGGCCCTTCTGTGCTTCTCAGTGCAGCTCAGGAAGGAGGTGGGACCCAAGGGCCTCTGGCGATGACACAGGAAGACCCAGGGCGAGGCAGGCACAGAGCTCCCAGCTAGACAGGGGAGCACCCTCCCAACAGGCAGGCCTGGTGCCGCCGACTCCACAGCCGCTGAGGACAGGAGTCGCCCACGAGTGAGTGTGAGGTCACTGGAGGGTGAGAAGCCGCTGGCCGGGAGGTGGGGGCTGCTCAGGGGGAAGGCTGCTGTGATGGAACCAAGGTCCCTGTGTGTCCCTCTGCACTCCTGAGTCACAGAAGTGCCAAGGGGGACGCTGCCCACCCCCCACCCCCGTGCAGTGTGGACAGGACCAGGGCCCTAAGGAAGCCAGGCTGTCCACCGCCACAGGAGCAGGTCCGCGGTTCTGGCACTGTGGCACGTGAGCGCTGTCTTCAAGAGGGGCCGCTCCGCCTGAGAAGCCATGCTGCCTTCTGCCCCCCGCCCAGAAACCATGTTGGGCTCCTGCCTATGTCATCAGCTCTGCGGAGGGTGGCAGGGGTCACAGTCAGTGCCACCCTGTGTCCACAGGTGCCACGAGGCTGGCTGATCCTGCAGTCTGGGTGACAGGAATATCCCTGAAGGCAGGGACCAACTCCAAACCTGGGGCCTCTGTCAGGAAGCACACTCGGCCCTCTGAGGTGGCCCAGTGGCAGGAGCAGGTCAGAGGTCCAGAGGAAGCCCCCACCCTCACTGACAGCCATTGTGAGGTGGCCTTGCAACACCCTGGCCTCATACCGCAGGTGCTAGCAGCAGGTGGCACACACGGGAGAAGGTGCCACACAGCCTCGACCGGAGGGCAGGAGGGCTGGAGGAAAGAGCCAGAAAGCAGGCTTCACAAGGTTTCTTTGTTTGACAGCAGGGTGGGTCAGCCCAGGGCCTGACCCGTGTTCCGCAGGGCCGCGTGGCGGCCACGTCAGTGCTGGCATCAGGGACCCAGCAGGACGGCTCAGCCGGAACGCGCTGTTTCGAGGCTTTGTGTTCATTTTGCCCGCGGGCCCTTCTCGATGGGCTTGCCGATGTCCTTGCCCCTGAGCTTGAGGCCTGCAAGAGGGTGGAGGCCACTGACCACCCTGCAGCCCCACCCATGGCCCCAGGGCACACGCTCAGCTCTGGCCCCGCTTGATCCCTCCCACAGCGCCCTCCTAACTGCAAAGGGTACTGAAAGCTGTGAGCCTAGACAGCAGGGGCAAGCATCTGCCCAGCAGAGTGAAACGAGCTCTCTGGACCGTGTGGGTGCCGTGGGGTCACTGCAGGAGCACATCGTGGCACAGAACCTGAGATCCTAGTTTCTGAGAGCCCCCGAGTGCCCCGAGAAGCCAAACATGGGCAAAATTCCAGCAGCTTGGCTCAAGGGAGCGGGGCCCACCCACAAGGGTGCTGCCCTGCCAAGACAGGCCAGAGACACTCACCAATGGCTCTCTCGATTTTGCCCAGAACCTGATTATTTGGAATGGCCCGTCCACTTTCATAGTCTGCGATGACTTGTGGCTTTTCGTTGATTTTCTGAGGAGAAGGTGTCCATTAAGCATGCTAGCCTGAGGGACAAGCTGCCTCCTGGGAGGCTGGGGTCCCACCTGGCACAGCTGCATCTCATGCCATAGCTGCCCTGCCCTGGCTGCCTGCAGGCCTCGGGCTACCAGGGCAGGGACAAAGTAAACACCCCTAGCTCACAGGTGGGAGCCCACCCACCTGCTACCCTCCCGCTGCCACCTTCCTAGGCCCAGAACCGCAGTAGCCTCACCGTGGCCAGATCCTTCTGTGTCAACCCCTTGCTCTGCCGGCCCCGCTGGATCACTTTGCCCACCTCCAGGGTCACCCGGTCGTGGTGCAGCTCCTCCGTCTCCCGGTCCAGCTTGGCCGTGTTCTTGGTGATCGAGTGCTGCTTGTTCTGCCCAGCAGCCCCTGGAGTTGGAAGCACACAGAGTAGAGGGATCTGCAGTTAATGTGAAAGAAAACGGTTTTGGAGCAGCCACCTGGCTGACAGCTCCACACCTGCTGTGATGCGGGGAAGCCAGGCTGCCCCAGTGCACAGGCCAGGAGCACAGTCCCGGAGTCTGCTCCCAGCTACCAGGAGCAGGTGAAAGATCCGGCCCTACTGACCTCATGCCACCCAGAGTTGTGTCAACAAGACCTCACCACCTCCTGACAGAGTCCCCAACACACTCAAGCCAGACAGCTCCACAGCACATCTTGGTTTGCAAGTGGAAACAGGACATTTTCTGTGTATACCTACATTTCTTGGAGGTCTCCACATCTTCGCCTCGTCTCTGAGCTGCTAAGATGGCCTAGAAGATTAGAAAGTGGATTTTGATGAAAATTAGCTTTGGCAGTGTCGGCAGATGGTGCAGCTGCTGTGAGCGGGTCAGCGTGCTGTCAAGAGCCCTGAAGACCTGTGGGGCTGGGCTCTCTGACTCTGGTGCCTGACAGCCCATTCCTCTTTCTCCAGTTTTAGTGGCCAACCCCAGTTCAATACTATTACATGGAAAATTCCAGAAATAAAAAATTTACGGGCCAGGGATATAGCTCATCTGTACGAGCGCCTGCCTGGCAAGCGCAAGGTCCTGAGTTCGAGTCCTGGTACCAAAAAAAAACTACAAATTTCAAATTGCTCTTTTTCAGAAATATGACACACTCTCTTGCCATTCCCCACTGTGTCCCATTAGGATGTGAATCCTATCCCTGCTGCCATCTTGGTCCCCAGGCTGTCACAGCAGCAGCACTGCTATGGAGCCCTTGTGTTCCGGGAACCCTGATGCCACGGCCCAATCCAGCATCACACTCCTAAGTAACTCCCCACACCTAACCACACAGGGCTCACAACAAGGATGACAGCACGGACACAGAAACTGCGCTCACATTTATCATGGCACCAAGCGTCAGAACCATCCTATTCTGTTATTACTGCTCTTCTCTTGCAACGACAGTGACTAATTCACAAATTAAACACTGCCACAGAAGTACTCTAATAAAAAGACAGCATTTAGGGCCCGGTATGACTCACAGTTTCAGGCCTCCCCTGAAGACCCAGAGGGCCCTATATACAAAATCTCCACCAGCGGCCAGGCAACTCACCATCAACTGCTGCCCAGAAGCAGCAGCACTGCTTCTGCACCGACACAGACTAAGGGGCTCTCGCTAGCACTTCCTACCTGACACAGGTTTACTCTGCTACTAAAGCCTCCTGCAAAAGCACGAGGAACCTAGCCGGCCGGGCCTCCTCCTGAGTCTGGCTCCTAACGACACAGAGATGACGCATCCCATGCAAGCCTGCGGTCTCCCTGGAAACATGACCAACAGCAGAGATGCTGGGCTCCACGGTCACCAAGAATTAACAGACTGTTTTTTTTTTTTTTGATGTGTTTAACACTTCAGAGACGGGCATTCTACCCAAGGTGCCTAGAGGCTTCCCAGTCAGTTCACGTGACTCCGGTCTGGCAGTGAAGTTTCCCCGGAAAAGAAAACGAATCTGGACACAGCTGCTACGCCAGGGCTGGTCGTGAACGCCCCTCACCGGGGCCCTGGCCAGGCCCCAGCCCTGGGGCCTCCCAGCATCAGAGTTCAACCTGGGCCCGGACAGCGCTCTCCAAAGCCCAGGAAGCAACCGGCGGCTCCGCGGGCAGCGGCCCCCGCGAAGCCAGCACAGCAGGCAGGGAGGGCAGAAAGGAGCCTCAGCAAGGGGGTGGACCTGCCCCTGCCCCTGCCCTGGCCGCAACCGGTCCCCGGCCCCGCACCGTCCCCGCCCCGGCCTCTGATCCGCCCAGGCCGCGGCCTGCAACCCTTGGACGACGCTCCACCCTCACCCAGTGCCCGCCCTCTGCCCGCGTCGCGCCCGCACCCG